GAAAACAATTATCCATAAACAATTAATTCTCAACAAAAGACTAATTCTCAACAGGTAATTATAACAGTGAAATGAAAATATAAGCTACAAAGACTAATTCTCAACAAAAGAAAATTTCATAAAGAAAACAATCATCAATCCATATTGATATCAGTAATCATAAAGTTCAATATAAAACATATATCCACATATCCATCACCCAATAGGACATTAAGCTAGCAAGTTTGCAACAGCATATCTCATTCCAATTTTGCACCCACTTAATTCCAAGTACGTCAAATTCAAGACTCAAATCTGCATATATATATATATATATATATATATATATATATCAGCCATTTCTAATAATGCTTCCTTTCCTGATACTATTGCTATGCACAGTACTATTGCCTATCCACCAAACAATTCACCATTTCCCTCACAAGGCAGTAACAAAAGTGCTGCAATGTCCAAGTGTAACAATTTTTTTTAATTGAGAGACAGATTTAAGAGATATTAAATGATAGCCAAAGAGATATCTATGAAATTAACCCAAAATATTATGTTTTAATACAGTGATTTGATGATAGAGACAGAGAGTACGATACATTTCCAAACAAGCTAGTCAAAAGGAAGAAGAAGACAAATAAAAAGAGTCCTTTATGTGTATTTAAAAAGCAATAAAATTCAGATTTCAGATTAAGATAATACAAATGAAGTAGTACAAACCAATTAGGGGATACTAGAGCCAAAATTCTAGTAGTTGTGACAGATTTGCGCAGATAAGGCTTTCCTATGCAAGGCTTAGGCTTATATAGTATAGTAGTAAGAAAGGCTAGGTGTAGACACCCCATTTTTGACCGTCCTCAAGACTTGGACGTCACCGTTTGAACACCCGGTGATCATCCATGTTTGTGTTCGTTTGGAGTTCCCGGAGGTCTCGGCTACGCGCCTTGCCTTACAATCTCCGAACTCGACTGTTTAGTGTCTGGTTTTGCATCAAACACTTGTGTTTTGCCTTGGAAGGGAAGGGAATGCCTTGTAAGGCATCCCCACACATCACCGGCCATGGCCATGGGCCACCGGCTGGTATTTTGTTGCCATCGGCAATGTATATTGCCGGTCGGCACTTTTTGTTGCCGGTCAGCACTTTTTGTTGCCGGTCGGCACTCCTTTTTTACAAAATGGCAATTTTTAGCAGCCAATTACTGTTCATCTGCTTTTGCAGATATTTTAAGACAGCTGTATGTCATTTTGTTCCCCTCCATACACGTGTATGGAGGGATCGACCCCTTGTTAGCTTACCTTGTAAGCTTTACAAGATTGGCTCCTCTGTAAGAGGAGCCCTCCCTTTTTGGCTGTAGGGTAGACACTTTAGAGATTTTAGAGATAAAAAAACACAGAGGGGAGCTCTGGTTTTAGGGTTAGGGTTTGACACACATTCTCTCTCCCTTTTTCTCTCTTGTGTGTGTCTAGGTGCATTTGTGTCTCACTATTGCACACAAACACATAATGTTTCACCTTCCCTTAGCTACTGAGGTTCTAGGAGGTTGTTCTTGAGCTTGGAGGAGCAGCTGGTCCACCATTGTTGAAGAGGGTCTTCAAGGGTAAAAAAACTTACCTTTATATTCCCCATTTTTGCATTGTATTTTTACCCATCTTCGAACTGTTTTTGTGCTTAGTGTATAACATAAAAAAGTTCTTTTTTTAGGCCCTCTAAGTTGTTTGTTTAGAGTGTTTTGTGGTTTGGAGGTGTTTGACCCCTCTTAGGCCTTGAGAGGCCCCATTTTAAGCCATTTTGAGTGAGCTCCGGGATTTTGGTGTTTGGGCCTCCTCACCACTGAAATCTTGAGGGATTTCAGTGGTGAGGATGGTGCCTTGAAGTCCCAAGAAGGAGAGGGCCACCCCCTCTCCTTGCTGTCCTTGAAATGGACCATTTTTGGCCTCTAGAGGGAGCACCTAACTAAGCTTCATGTTGACCATGCCTTAGTTGTTTTTTGTGCTTAATATGTCATAATATGCTTCTGTTTTTACTTGGTTTTGGTACACTATGCATGCTTAGCATACCTACCTTGTAATGCCATTTTTAGGCCTTAACATGCCTTAGGTTGTAAACCGTCGTTCGAGCATGTTTTAGGTCTAGTTTTGTGAAGCTTGTGTGCTTATTTTGCCATGCTAGAGGTCTGTCCATAGTTGTTTGGGTCGGCCATGGCATGCATTATATGCCCCCTTTGCATTTTGGCTTGTTGGCCTCAAGTGTGCGAGTATGTAGCATGCACTACTTGCTTTATTCTAATGATTTGGCATCATTTATAGCATAATTTCAGTCCCTTTGACATGCTTGTATGCTTGCTTTGGACACCTCTTTGAAGCTTTGGAAGCTTGTCTTGCATGCTCCATGTTTTGGTCATCGTGCATGCTTTTGATTTTGAACCATTTAGATGCCATCTAGGTGTCCCTTGGGTGTTGTTTAGGTTTGTACTAGACCTATTTTAAGTCCTCTTAGCCTTGTAAGGCTTGGTTCATTTAGTCTTGGTTTAAGCCTCTTGGCTTGCCTTGGGTTTTTGGCTTTGTTTCCATGCCTTGTTTGCCTTGTTTAATCGGCTTAACACCCTTTGAAACATGATTTTCAATGCTTACCTTGCACGCCATTAGTCCATGTTATGCCTCTTTCAAGTGTGCTTGAGAGTTGCCCTTTTATACTTAAGTGTTGGTCCTTGTGTGCATGCATGTTTGCATGACATTTAGCCCTCATTTTATAGCAATTTGGCCACTGTTTTGAGCCTAATTAGAGCTGCCCAAATTATGTTTAAATCCATCTCTTTGTTTGTTGCATGCTCTCCTTGTATATTGTAGTATATTGGTGAGTCGTCGCATGTTTGAAATCACATGATTGAATGAAGTCACATGTTGGCTTACATGCTTGAATGCCTACATTAGCCTTGCACACTTGTTAGTTGCATTGCTCTATGCCTTGCATTTCTTGCATGCTCATTTGCATTGCCATATTGCATGCCTAGTTAACATGCTTAGGTTGCATTGTATTGGCATGCATGCTTGGGCTCTTGACTATCCATGATAGAGGTTAAGTTCCCATTGGTTTGATTGTGTGCATTACATTTCATTTGACATGGAAATGCATAACTTGGTCTCTTGGGCCATCACGCATTGGAATGCGCAATTGGTGGTCCGAGAACCAAGGATCATGGCCCTTTGTGTCACTAACATGATAAGGGACATGATTGGTGCATACATTGCATGAATTGTATTGCCATGCTCTGCCTTGCCCTCTGTTGCTGTCAATTGCAGGTTCTGCAGACACTCTCTGCCGACCGGCAGTGATATGTGCCAACCGGCAATCATACCTCGGCCGATGGCTTCACAAATGGCCGGTGGCCACATACCACTGCCGGTGGAATTCCTAATCAGCCGGTGGTGTCTCCCAATGTCCAGAGAAGCAACTCTGAGACTTTGACAGTCTCGAGAGGAGTGTAGCAAGGAAAACAGAGGCAGCCTATGCATGGCGGTGCATTTCCGAGCGAGACCCGAGCACGCATTGCATTAGGCTCCCATCCCGAGGCGGTTTACTGTTTTTTTTTAGCTTAGTTAGTTTGTTAGCTAATTAAGTAATTTGTAATAGCTAATTAGCTTGCGAGTTAGTTAATTTGTAATATTTTATTCGGCCCCTCCGAGTGAGGGCGAATTTGTAATAAGTGTGGGTGAGTGTGTGCATGTCTTCCAACCCCCACTTCTTTCTTCCCTTTTACTTACCTGCTTTGATGGTTAGTAATAGGTCATGTTTAAATTAGCATACCTTATGCTATGCATGCGTGCATCCATACATTTGTCTTACATGCACCGAGCTCGGCACATCATGCTAACTGCACTTGTATTTCAATTCCAAAGTTGAGTACTTGTTAATTGCAGCATTTCACATGCCACGTTTAGCATAGCCGAGCCTATCATAGTTGCATCTTGCATGTGTTGCATTAGCCATCTTAACATGAACTAGGATCATGCATATGATTACTAACTAGTTTCTGTTTTGGCTTGGAGTACTAGGTGGGCTTTTATGCTTTAGCATCCTTGTATGCGTGTGAGTGTTGCCATGACAGTATGATTACCATGAGGCTAGCTGCTTATGTAATATAACTGCTTGAATGCCTGTGGATAGAGGTTGAATTACCCAAATTGGAATAATGCATTAAAACTGTGAGTTTTAAGCCCACTAGATAGTGGCAAAACCATCTTTTCTAAAAGCCCACTTAAGGGTGACGAAACCTGCATTTTAGCCTACTTGTGAGTAGCAAACCATTTTCAAAACAAACATGCAATGTTTTGTTCCAATTTAGGCGATTTGGTCTATACTTGTTTGCTGTGCGCATAATATAGTAATTCTAGGCTAATAACCGGAATAAGAACACATAACGTTTTCAAAATTGGATATCATAGTTAGTAGAGGCCGATCTTCAAATCGGGCGAGAAGGAGTGCTCATAGCTGACCTTCCCCAATCGTACCCAAGTTCCCGAGCCGAGGCAACTTTGGTGATGACGGACACGTGGCCTTTGGCACCGAGTCAGGGTTTCCTAAATCCCCCCAAAATAAAATATTTAGGTGGCCACTCTGTATCTGGCAAAACAGTCCATGTTTGGCACTTCTTTTTCTAAAAATCTGTTTCTCAAAACGATTTGCCAGATTTAGTTTCTTTGGTTCAGATTGAGAACCGTGACACAAATCGAGTCCGAACTGTAGCATAAGACCCATGGGCGCGTCTACACTAGGCATTATAAAGGTGAACATAAACTTTTGACATGCACATATACTTTTTAAATTCGCATTGAAGATAACATCTAACAATCTTTTAAAAATTAAACACATGTTTTAACAAGATTTTAGCTTCCAAAAAGTAAATTTTATTTCTTCTCTCCCACACAGCTATAGAGGGATTTTGGGAAAGGAAGAAAGAGAAGAAAAGAAAATGACAGTACCCATGAAACCAAAGCATTGGTATACACACAGAACTCATTGTGGTAGCATATACAAATAAACTTACTATGAAGCATACATTTTGGCAGCTGGGTGAACCCATTTCAATCACTTATTACAATGATTTGGAGGATTAGTAGAAACCAAGATTTTGTACCTGAAGTTTCCCAAGGTGCCATGCTCCAGAAATGCACACCACCTCAAGTGTTTTGTCATGCATGGACTGAAGATTGAAATCATCGTCATGCTCATAATCATTTTGCCAAAGATCAACTCCACCCATATAGCTGCCTATGTTGAGCACAATTAAACCCTCAGCATCCTGGAGGAAAAGTTAAAAGGAAAAAATTTAAAAATAGTCCAATTGAAAAGGAAGCCAGAACAGTAAAGAAAGAACACCTCTGTTGCAAGGGTGCTAATGGTTGTATCCTTCACATCCCTCAGCAAGTGCTCAACCCTGTTGAAGTAATTTGATTACAGAATTAGCCATATGGAGATGGAGAATATGTGGCAGACAACATTCAGCTATGGTCGAGCGTTAAATATCTTCCTTTGAGGTGGTTGGGGTAAATAAATGCCCTTAAGGCCATCCAGAAGGGACAAATTCTTCGGGTTGTAAAATTTAAACTTTTAAATAAGAACTAAAACAAGATCAAAAAGAAAGACAGTTACCTCGATATAGAGGCCACAATCCTGGTTTGTTCCTGAAACATACCAAAGGTTTTTCAATCACAAAATTCAAGGAACATGCATAACAAAAAAATGACAAGGAATAACATAGACCATAATATACATCGACCAAAGTACCAGATAAATCACTACATTACAAGCTTAAGTTTAAATAGGACCTCATCTCTTTCTGATAGCGTCGAAATGCTGAATCGCTGTGGACATGGATGACCATTTTGAAGAACAGGTTGTCACTAGATACAGAACCAATTTTGTGAAAGTTATGGTAACACTTAAAAGCAGCAGGAAAACGCCTCTCTCTCATCAAACGAATCATTTCCTGGCTTGAACAAAAACTTAAGGTTAATATTACAGGAAATGAAGAATTCTAAGTCAGAAACAAATTCTACAATATTAGATGCATCATACCCAAAGACAACCACAAAATATACAAACACCAAATGCAAATATTAGACATCAATCAAATCTTAAAAGCAATATTAAACAATAATGTCTGATAAGCTCAATAAAATTGTTATAGCTCAACAGACAGTCACTTCAAGAACCAATGGACCAAATAGCAGATAACATTACAAAGCCATAAAGATCAAGCAGTTTATGAAACAGATATAACATTATCTAAGCAGATTATGAAACTATTATAGGAAAAGTAAATTCATACTTCAGAAAAATCTGCAAAAAGTATGGCTTGACCAAAAAGTATGGCTTGACCAAAAACCAGCAGGATGTGCTTGTAAAAATTTTGAAAGAACAGATTGATCAGCATTTCTGGAATGTGAATCAGTTGCACCATTTCCAAACCAGTCTAAATAATCAGGGCAGAAAGAAGTCCCAACACTCTCAAGAAGAGCTTTTATTTGCTGCAATTGTATTGTCAGAATCAAATTACTTCTCTGTAATGTAATCAACAGTAATTCTAACTTGTCCCTTCTCGGTAATGTACAATCCCAAGAAAGCCTCATCCTTCATACACGACAAAATGTAAGGGAAGGAAGATTAAAAAAAAAAATAAGACATTTAATTCGAAATAGAATATTTACCCTATCAGCTATTATCTGCCCATCAGAAAAGGAAACTTCAGAAAGAGATTCTGCAATGTGACTCAGCTGTAAGATTGTCAATCTCGAGAGCAGATCTACTGATCGAAGCAACTTCAATGATGATAAATTTGAAAATTATGACGTAAGAATTCCTCGAAAATCTTCCATTTTTAAAGCCCAAAGAGTTCCACTTGTCACAGCACGGACAGAGGCCTGGAGTGGTTTGTTATTCCTAAGTGAAATGTACCGGAGGAAACCACATACAGTAAGAATGAAACTACCATGGTTAACATTAACAAATTCAAGGAAATCATGATCCTAAATGTTCACAATAAGTCATGAAATGAACCATGTTTCTTAGAAAATAATTATGGATCTAAGATCACCAGAGTTGTGTTTGTCTGAGAACACTAGAAATAATCCTGATCAAAACATGTCTGCACTCATTTCTGATTTAAATTATGTTGGACCTTTTGATCTTAGGTACCAATAAAGGGTATGTAAAGTCAACCCATCAATGATTAGGTGGGATCCACAAATGTAGTGCCTGATGATTCGCTTTTGCTTATTCAAAGGGCTAATTATTTATACACCATTTTACTCATTATGTAAACATGAACGACATTTTTGGAAAATATGATACTGACACTTAAATCCAGATACAGGAAAATTATTAATGGAGAGAGTTTTATTCGTTTAATTAAACATGAACGGCATTTATGGAAAATATGCTACTGACAATTAAATCCAGATACAGGAAAATTTAATGGAGAGAAAGAGAACTCACATTAGTGCCAGCTCTCCAAATGATGATAATCTTTCAACTGTATACAGATGCAGAACCCATGGAACCTCTCCATCTTTTTCTTCCTGCTATTTATGATATCTTATTAACATTGTAACTGAAGAAATTTACAGGGAATAAGCTGCAACATAAAATCAGAAATATTCTCCTCCAGAAAACATGTATTTCATAAGAAGACAACTATTGGTCTAAGACAACTAGGAATGTCATTTACTGAACATTTCAGAAGACAATTTTAAGAATCAAATAAAAAGATATCATATGAGTTCACATCCACAATGTTGCTTTGACTTGGGTCACTAACCTTACAAGTGCAGTGGACCCCTTTCCCCTGACTAATTGCATCTTTCAACTCATTATATGAGTTCACATCCACAATGTTATTGCCGAGGAATTATAAATGTGTTAAGGGTATTATCCGAACAATATACCAAATTCAACAAATACAAAGCAAGGAAAACAAACTATCAAACATAGCAGAAAGGCAAAGATTTGGTGAACAAATTCAAAGGACTGAAAGATGGGAAGCAAGAATACAAACTGTCCAATACAGAGAAGAGAGGCAAGCAGTCAACGTACCATGCTTAAGGAAACACAATTTTGACTTCAAAACTCGTATGTGCTGACTACATAGATCCATTATGTAATCAAGCAAGTATATGATCCAATCTAACTAGATCTAAAGCAAGTATATGATCCACGCTTTCACTTGATTGATCCAAAAGCTTCACAAAAGAAATCAAGGAAATATGCAATACACATTCTACCTGCTTTGTAGAAGCTCCAGACAACAGAAGATCAGTTGTTACCATTCCCGGCTGCAGCCAACAAGAGGGAAAATTATGTAACAACGCTTTCACTTGATTGATCCAATGACCCATTACCAATGACACAAGTCCAAAAAGCATTAGCTCTGCCAAAAGGTAAAGGCAGGACATATTTGAGATGAATGAAAACAACTTTGAAACGCTATTAGAGATCATTGTCCATTTAGGACATAGTTGTTAGTATGGATTAGATTAGATGAAATTAATGTCTGTTAGCTTTAGAATTATTGATCTCTTTAAATTGTGTATTATATCCCATGTTTTGATTAACTTGTGATTATGAGAAGAAAAATGTTAAAAACAGTTTTAAAGCCTATTAGTAGGGTTATGTGTGAACACACTATCCGGAACTTGCTACAAGATGTAATATTTTCCACGTTAAGTTCTATAAATTACCAAGAAAATAACAAAAATGTTCGAGTTTATTACCTCAGGCTTGAGGTCACGGTGAACTACACCTTGGAGATGACAGTAGGCAACCACACTCAAAATCTGTACCACGACAGCCATTGCATCTTCTTCCGAGTATTTTCCACCTCTAGAGAACATAAATCAGAAATTTATATGGCTAAAAGATTGCAGAACAGGCCAAAGACTGCCATGAAAGAAGAAAATATGAAAATACGGTACCTAGAAAGTATTCTATCCAATAATTCACCTCCTCTGCATAACCTGAAAAACACAAAACATGATACAAAGAAAGCTTCAATTTACCTATGTTTTTTCATCTTTATTTATTTATTTATTTATTTTGAGACCTTTTCCACAAAATTTGAAATGAAATGTTTTTTCTAGATTTTTGGAAATTGGGTTACTGCTACAAGTGTGAAAACAAGTTTTCTCGATTAATCAACCAAATTTCAGTACTCCAAAAATAAATAAATAAAATATTCAGTGCTATGCTAGAGTTTAGAAATATCCCAAACCATTAATCATCCAAATGAGCTAGAGCAGAAACACCAGCTTTCTTGATTCTCCATGCTAATTCTACCGTATCCTGGGATGATTTTAGAAGTTGAATCTTACATGTTATTAGTGTGTCCAAATATCGCTTTAATGTTGTCAATATTTAGATCAACAGAGAAACAACATGAGGGTTAAAGCTTTTAGTTCAAACAATGAACAGAGAAGGAAAAAGAAAAATAGAACTCCATGAATGCCATGTACCACAAATATTCATGATAAAACCATACAGGTCAACACAACACACACAAACATAGAGATTAATATTAACCTTAAAAAGACAAAATCAAGCATTTTAAAAAAAAAAAAAATGAAATAGAAAAACTAACAAACAAACAAACAAAATAAGGAATTGAATCGATCAAAATAATCACAGAGAAACAGAACAGATCAAAAACGAATAATTAAAGTGATTTATTCTAGAAAAATTATTCCAGCAAACTGTTTTTCAGTAACTAAACAGACAGAATCACAGATTTGAAGCTCAAATAACAAACAATCAACAATCAAATTAAACTTCATAAACACAATCATATACATACATACACATATATACATATATATATATATATATATATGCAATTTGTATAGATCAAAAAGAAAAACAAACCTCTGATCGAAGAAGACGAAGAATTCCAAATCCACGGAGATGAATCATGGAGCTGTGCTCAAAATCGAACTTCGAAATCACAATCCTGAGATGAATCACCGACTTGTAGAAGAATCGAAAAAGAATCACCAAGAGAGTGAAGAAGAATTGAGAGCCCTAAGGGCTTAAGACCTATATAGAGCCCTAAACAAAAGTATTCACTAAGCAAAACATTGATCGAAAACAGGGATAAATCACAAACAGAACAACTAACCTCTGATCGAAGACATAAATCACGGAGTTGTGCTCAAAATCAAACTTCGAAATCGCAATCCCGAGATGAATCACCGAACTGAAGAAGATTCGAAGAAGAATAACTGAGTAAGAGATAGGGAAGAATCGATCCTCTGAGAGAGAGATTTGGAGAAACAGATTCAATTCTCTAAGAGAGAGAGAGCAAGAGAGTGAGTGAGATAGGATTCGATCGCCTTGACAGCAGTGCTCAAAATAGGGTTTTCAAAATAAAGGTTTGGAGAGACAAAAGAGGGTGGGAAGAGAAACCGGATTTGGAGGCGCTTTTTAAACGTCTTCCATTTACAAAATGGTACCGTTTTAATTTATAACAAATGCGACGTTTAAAAAACATCGTTAATTGTTAGAAAAGGTGACGTTTACTAAAACGCCGTTAAATCCCTAATTTCCTGTAGTGTGTTATGTGTTGCATTGTGTTTGGAATAGGTGTTAGTCCAAACACGGGAAAATAGGTACGTTTCATACTTGAAATGAGGAAACGTGCCTTAATTTCCAGATGCCGACACTCTTGACTAGCTCTTGATCATACATGATAGAGTTCTAGGCTTTATGTGTTTACTTGTGCCTTCATTTTTACATTGAATTGTGCAACTTCGCCTCTTGGCCATCATGCATTGAAATGCACGATTGATGGCCCGAGGGTCGAGAACTACACTTCCTTGAGCTCATGACATGATAGGGAGGATGGTTGTGCATACATATCTTGCAAGTACATTGTCATGCCCTTTCTTGCTCTTTGTTGCGACAAACTGGAATTCAGCAGCAACAACTGGTCGGCCAGCCAGAAAAACTAGCTGGCCGACCACTTTTTCTAGCTTTCTGCAAAGAAAGTGGTCGGCAGGTGGCTTCAGAGACCAAAAGTGGTCGGCCACCCTCCCACAGGACTCCCAAGGTGAAGTTTTAGCTTTTTGGAGCTTGGTGTAGTGTTCTGGAAACAATTGCAAACAAAAGCAAATCGGGGCATCACATTGGATTTCCAAACGAGGCGACCAGGCTTGCATGCATTCCTCTCCTTCTGAGGCTCCTGATTTATTGCTTTCCTTAGCTAATGTGTTTAGCTAGTTTACACTTTGGTTTGTACCTTTAATAGTTAATGTGTTTAGCTATTTCCATTTGTTTTGTAATAATTAGTTAACTAGGATTAGTTAATTAATTTGTTTTGTAATAATTAGTTTAATTAGCTTAGATTAGCTAGTTAGCTGCTTATTCGGTCCCTCCGTCGAAAGGGTCAATTGTTGTAATAAGCGTGCGTGTGTGTGATGCATGTATTCTAACCCCCATTTCTTTCTCCCTTTTACTTAACCGCTTATGATGATTAGTTTTAGGGCATATTTCATTTAGCATACCTTATGCTTGCATGCGTGCATCCATTCATCTGTATTGCATGTACCGGGCGCATCATACTAACTGCATTGTATTTTCAATACATTTATTTGAATACATGTACCAAGTTGCATTTCACATGACATTCTACATAGCCGAGCCTATTTTAGTTGCATTGTTGCACGTGTTGCATTAGCCATCTTAACATGAACTAGGATCATGCATGATTTCTAACTAGTTCCTTGTTTTGGCTCGGAGTACATTGTGAGTGTTTACGCTTTAGCATAATGCATGTGTGTTATCGATTACCATGAAAGCATGCTTGCCAAGAGGCTAATTGCTTATTTGCTATAACTGCCTGAATGCCTGTGGGTGAAGGTTGGATTACTTGAATTGGAATAATTCATTGAAATCCTCGATTTAGCCTACTTGCGAGTAGCAAACTTCAAACCATTTTCAAACAAACGGATGTGCAATGTTTTGTTCCAAATTAGGCGATCTAGTCTATACTTGTATGCTGCGCGCATCAGATAGTAATTCTAGCTAATTAACCGGAATAAGAATACATGTGTTTTCAAAAATAAAATATCATGTTTAGTACAAGCCGATCTTTGATCGGGCGAGCGGGGGTGCTCATCGCATGACCTTCCCCTCTCGTACCCAAGTTCCCGAGCCGAGACAACTTTGGTGATGACGGACACGTGGTCTTAGGCACGAGTCAGGGTTTCCTGAATTCCCCCAAAATAAAATATTTAGGTGGCGACTCTGTATCTGGCAAAGCAGTCCATGTTTGGCACTTCTTTCTAAAAATCAATTTTCCAAAACGATTTGCCAGATATGGACTCTTTGGTGATTTATCAGTCTCACATCGCACATTGTGAGATTAGATTCAGAACCGTGACATTGAGTCCGAACTGTAGTAGCTCAGAGAACAAGACGAGATTCGTGCCGCCTCGCCGCGCTCGCGGATGTCAGGGAGTTCTCCCGGGAGCGCGTCTACACACACACTCTTCCAATCCATTTGAATCCTTTTTCTAAGTTGTTTCTATAGGCGAAGCATTGGTGAAGCCCAGAACCTGAGCAATGTATGAAACACGGACTGTAGGGAGACATGAACGAGACACGCATCTTACAGCAGTGTACCGCATCTTCTCAGCATAAAGATCTGTAGTGAAAGAAAAATATTTTATTATCTATTTGTGTTACTAACCCATGGAAGTTAGAATTAGAGATAACAATATGTATACCCACCCATAAGACAGGTGTTAAGATTAGGTGCAGTCTTGTAAAGTCTAAAGAACCTGACATAATTTCCTGAAGTGACAATTGCACGAACTGCAAGAGCATGTTTTACAGCCTCATCCTTTTTGGTTTCAACTGATAATCAATGCATATGTCAGTTTAGCATTCTAAATTAACTCATACGCTGAAAGAACAGAAAGGAAAAACAGATTTTCTTAGCAAATAGACTTAGCTATGTTATGATTCACTCGCATTAAGGGCATAGTAGACACAAGGGAAACAAGAAAAAAAATGCACACGGACACAGACATATTTCCATAGGATCCCTCTAGCCATGTAGCACTAATGTTTGCATGACTACGAAATACACAAGAATTCATAAAAGTTGAGCCAAAACCATGCCAAGTTTTTCCTGGCATATAATAACATGAACCCAATCCATATCTTTTTTAAATATCAGTTTTCAGTTATACATGACATTACCATCAGCATCACCATAATTTCTGGCAACAAAAAAAAGCTGATAAATTGACCAGGTTTCAGGTGTTTAGGACATAATTCCTCGATTTTGATTTCATGAGGTCTAATGTTATCTAACAAGATGAAAATATAGACCAGATTTCTTCAATTGTTTCTCAAATGGGGTTTACTTTTCTTTTTTTTATATTATTTATCAAGTAAGTCAGAAGAGAAAAGATAAACCAACTCTATTTTGAGCATCCAGTAAGTCATATATTTTGATTGATTAGAGTACGTTTCAACCCCCATGTAGTTGGGATAAGGCATCGTTGGGTTTGATTAGGTTTTAGACATTCATTCAACAGTCTACTATCAAATTTTCAAAATAGTCTTACGTTAACCATCAAGTTGCTGAAATGAAATGTCTTAACAAAAATGAAAAGAAATTAAATTCCTTACCAAACAATGCATTGAAAAGCAATACTATTGTCAATAGTTTTCCGAAGTACTCACATCGAAATTCCACTTAAGCAAAATTCAATGGTTTTCTTCAGTGCATCTAACTTGGGCACAAAAATATCTATGATTTGATATACAAATAAGTCAACCACCCACACATAACTTTTCATGACAGTTCAAGGTATTAAATAAAAAGCCAAGTACAAAACACAATTTAAAATTTAAATTTAGTCTGCAACAAATCAACAAAATTATCAGTGATTGTAACCAACACAATGTAACAACTCCGAAAGCAGCAATGATATAATAAGAGATTGACAAACAAGATCAATGAGTAATAACACGAATGCAAGATGGATGTACTAACCTTGACATTGCTGATACCAGATCTCTGCTATTGTTGGCGTGCAAGACAACACAGTAAATTGTAAGCAGAAAATTCCATGTGGCACCCCTTATTCCCTCCGCATAAAGTGTTTTCAACTGTGATTGACACTGCAAATTAGATGGAAGAAAGTCAGCCAATGCCTCTAATCAACATGAACATTTAAATGAAATCAACATTCAATTTACTAAGCTCCATAAACAATTCTTAAAAAAATTGCCCTAGTTCCAATAACATATGTCGAACATGTATCTCATACCCTTACTAAAGTAGTGTCCTGGCACGAGTACATTATACATTTAGAAGAGTTCATAGACTAGAACTAAAAGCCAAATTTGAGACAAGAGTTTCAACTTTCAAATAATAGAAATTTTCAGGTTTAAGAACTGGAAGTTGTTATCATCCTATTCTCCACACACAAAATAATGCCTATAAGAATCCTACAGAAGAAGGGAGGCATGGTGCGAGAAGCAGTCCTGGAACCTACACCATAGGTTAAATTGGTTTTGATCATGAACAATGAACACCTATAGATGCAATGACAAAGAAGATGTAAATTGACATGGGATGTAGTACTAAAAAAGGCAATGAATTTATTTAATTTAACTAAGCATATAACCCTTAACATAACGAAATTGTAAAAAGGATTTATGTAGCTAAACCCACTTGATTTGAACACATGGCTTAGTTTGGTTTTGATTTTTTTTTTATTCATTTTCCATGTATATATATTCTAGAAATTAAGATGGGCTATGGGGGACCCCTTTGGACAATGAGGGCTTTTATTTCATAGGGATTTTAGATGAGGAGTTTATTTTGTTTTGACTTGGTCTTTCAGCACGAAGTGTTTTATTCTGCCTTTATTATTGGGGCCCGTGAACAAGGAAGGTTTTTAGTTTGTTGGAACTTCGGACAGAGAATTTATTTTTTATAAGTTTTTGGATAAGAACTATTTTATTTTATTGAGCCTTTGGATAGGGTGTTTTTTTTATTTATTTTGTAGAGCCTTCAGACAAGAAGATTTTTTTTTTTATTTTTAATTTAATTTTGGATAAGATTTATTTTATTTTATTTGGGGCCTTGAAATAATTGGGGATCTTAGGCAAGCAACTATCTCGCCTAAGTGATGGGCCAGCCCTGTGTTGGCCACGTAGGATACAAGCAACTAAAACAACTATTAGCTAGCCTCAAAAAGAACAAATTATAAATGTAAAACAGTAGAACAAATTAACAAGGGGCAAATTAACAAGCCACACCAACTGGGACAGTTTCAAAGTTAAAATGGTAATATCAAAGCAGGTATCAACCTGATTATATTCTGCCAAGTCTCCAACTTCTATTGCCAAACGAGCATGAGTTTCATAAACCTGAAACAAAAGTATGAACACTGTAAATATTTTTGAGGTACCATTCATTAAAGAATTGGAAATCTAATTCATTATAGAAAAAGAATGATGGTTCTTTCTGTGAGGCTAAGTAAAGATATTCACACTATATAAAAGTGAAACACAGAACTTGCTATGCGCAAGAAGAAATAACGCATTCCATGTAGCACAGTTATCTGAACAGTATGGGATATCTTTCTCGGTGCATGGTGACACGATGAAGGGGCGTAGAGAGTTGGTTGGCCACTGCAGTGGTGGAGAAGGGGAAGGACTGTTGCAGCGGCAGCAGCAACATGGAGTTGCTTTGCTGTGTAGCAGAACAAAAAGAAATGAAAGAAGGGAGAAAAAGGGGGAAATTTGTAGCTTCAGATGACAGAATCATAAAAATTAATATGATTTGTTCATATATTAAACATCATCTCTTTCATTTTTAATAAATTACAGCCCCATACATTAAATTTTGAAAAAACCCTAAACATCATCTTTGCAAATTTGAATCAATTACAAAGACATCATCTTTGAATAAATTTTGAAAAAACCCTAAACATCATCTTTGCAAATTTGAATCAATTACAAAGACATCATCTTTGAATAAATTTTGAAAAAACCCTAAACATCATCTTTGCAAATTTGAATCAAACCAACAATGTCAGAAAAGGGGGAAACAAAGAAAGGGAGGGAGGGAGGGAGAGAGAGAGAGAGAGAGAGAGAGAGAGAGAGAGAGAGAGAGAGAGAGAGAGAGAACCTGTGATGTGCGCTATGATGGTGGTGATTTGCGCCAGGGGCGGTGGCTATCGCAATGTCGCCCGTATGGTAGACTACGGTGAGGGGGTGATTTCTATGAGGTTTGGTGAGATGTGTGTGTGATACACTATTGTGAAGTTGTGTTGCCTAATAGAGATCAATGCATGCGTAGCAAATAAAGGAATTGGCGCGCGTTGAAATTTCAACCTTTAGCAACTAATGTGCTTTTTTGGTGGCAAAGGAATAAATTATGCCGACTAACTACTTTTGTAGCCAAATATCACTCAACAACGACGACGTCAAAAGTCTTATTTAGCGACTAATTTCTATTTTAGTCGGGAAAAATCAATATTGCCGATTAATTTTTTTTCCCTAAAATGTGAACTAACGGCGACTAATATCCTGTTTAGTCGCTAAAAGTGGAATTGTTGCTGACTAAATTTGAATTTAGTCGCCAATAATAAATATTTATGGACTAAAATATTTAAGTAGCTAGATCTTGAACCATTGTCGACAAAATTAATTTTTAGTTGCCAAAAATTGTACTTTTGGTGACTAAAAATCTTTTAGTCGCCAAAAGTGGTCGCCAAAGGTGCATTTTGTTGTAATGTTGTATAGCTTACTAGCTGACACGTACGTAGAGATTCCCAGTGCTTGTATCCACTGCCCTATTTTCTGTTATAAAGGAACTGCTTTCATGAATTGAGATATAACCTAGCATTGCATGATTTTAGAAAGAGATGTAAAATGTTTTGACATGTGCATTGCATATGCATTCACCTTATGGCTTTGTTAAGATTCATACACTGTGTTAGAGTATCTCTATTGGGCTTTGGCTTACCTATGTGGAAAATAACTTTCAGGTGCTGATGACATGCCTCTGCCAAGAATGTAGCTTGAGAGGACTAAAAGCCAAGCGCTTTCTTTTGTTATTTGTTTTAAATACTTTGTACAAGCCTAGGGCTTAAATAGTATTGTGTTTAAACTCACTTTGGTTGTAACCAAGCATCGTCTTGGAAAATTATAGCCGTTAGGGCATTAAATTATCTATTTTAACTTTTATTTCATATCTTTGCTTATGGCATTGTAGACACCCCATTTTTTACAGTCCTTAAGACTTGGACATCATCGTTTGAACACCCGATGATTGTGCTCGCTCGTGTTTGTTTGAGTCCCTGAAGGTCTCGGCCGAGCGCCTTGCCTTGGAGCCTCTAATATTATCTGTTTTGTGCTTGGTTGTGGACCAAATGCTTGTTGCTTCACTTCTGGAGGAGAGGGTGACCTGTCGGCCATCCCCTTAGCGTGCTGGCCATGACTTGTGCCAGCCGGCCACCAGTGGTGGCCGGCCGACTACGTTGATGGCCGGTCGGCCACTAATGATGCCTAACGACCATTTTTCTCCTTTTTCAGATATTTCTTTGCCAGCTGTTATTCACTGATGCACATCTCCGTACATGTGTATAGAAGGATGAAGGCAAGTCTTTGGCTTGAATTTCTATATAATGGGGGGTCTCTCCCTCATTTGAGGGGTTAGAAAATTTATGAGCAAAATTTCCTCTCTCTCTCTCTCTCTAGAATCCTCTCTCTCTCTTCTTGTTTTGTGCTTGAAAGTGGGAATTCTCTACACATTTGCACTAAGACCCTTAGCCAAACACCTTCACCTTGGAGTTGAGGTTCTTGGAGGCCTTGTTTGAACTTTTAAAAGTGGTTTTAGCTCAGAATTTTTGCTGTTTGTTGCTGTGCTTCAAAGGTAAAGCCTTACTCCTTTTAAGATTTGTTTTAATTGCTTGTTTAGCCATCTTTGCATGCTATTTTGAGGCTGGTTTTAACCACTAAAAACTCTGTTTTTAAGGTTACACGTGATGGTTTGAGGCTTGTTTTGGAGTTAGGGGTGGTCCACCCTCTTCGAAGTTTGTTTGTTAGAGTGTTGTACCTTTTTTTTCAAAGCTTCTAAAAAATTTTTTTTTGGCCTTTTAACCATTGAATTCCAGGGGAATTTCGGTGGCAAAAAGTATTCTTTGAGGTCCAAAATAGGAGGGGGTGGCCTCCCCTCCTTGTCTCTCTCTTCCATGCCTAGTTAGCATCACAAAGTAGCATGTTTTTGTAGCTTGTGTTAGCTTATTTCAAGCATGTTTTAGGCTCCATTTTGATATGTCTCAACTCTGTTTTTCGTTGGTTGGAGCACTTGTTGCTTTTTTCTTGCACTTGTAGTGCAATTGTGCTTACTAGTCTAGCATGCCTAATGAGTTAGGCAATTATTCTAGCTTATGTTAGCTTGACTCTAGCACATTTTAGCTATTGTTTTGACATGCTTTAAATTTATTTTGTGTTGGTTAAGTCCTTCGAGGCTTGGTTTGTATGGCTATAGTGTAACAGGCTTCACTAGTCTATTGCTTTGAGGCCTTGAGCATGAAGTGTTTGAAGTATTTGCATGTTATAGCCTCATTTTGCATATAATTTCAGCACCATAACCTCTGTCATGTGTGCATGCATTCCACACTTTCATTGCTTTTGAGAGTTATGCCTTGTGTCTCGTTTGCAGCCAACATGTGAGCATGTTTTTCTTGCCTTTTGTGCCTAAATTTCAGCATGTTTTAGCCACTGTTTTGGCATGATTTAGCTCTGTTTTGAGCTGGTTTGGTCATTTGAGCTTGATATTGCATGCCTCTACTGTAGTGCTCTTCACTAGCTTATTGTTTTTGGCCTTTAAACATGTTGTGTATGTGTTGCTTGCATGTTGTAGCACTATTTTTCATGCCACTTCAGCACTAAAAAGTCTGCAACCTCCCTTCATTCTTCACTTTTCATTTTGCTTTGAAAGTGGTCTTGAGCCCCTTGTTGGCTTGAGTGTGAACTTGAGGTTTTCATGCCTAATGGTTTCAACTCTCTCTTAAGGGTTCCTCCTAACCAACAGCATGCGACCTCTTTCATGCTTAAGGCACTTGTGGCTTAACCATCTTTCCAATTAGAGGACTCTCACATTGGACTTAACCGGTTAAAGGATTAATTAGCAATTTAAAATGTGTAAACAAAATGAATCAAGTAAAACTTGAGCGAGATAAACATGTATGTCGCATTGCATGTGTTTGGATCAGACGTTAATCCAAACACAAGAAATGTGAGACGTTTCATACTCAAAGTGATGAAACGTGTCACGTTTCTTTGTCGCCGTCACCCTTGATCATGCATGATAGGGTGGTGGCCATTTGAGTCTTATGTGTGCATTCATTAAACTTGTACAAGCATGATTCTTTGGCCATCATGCATTGAAAATGCTTGATTGGTGGCTTGATAGACAAGTGCCGCACTCTTTTGAGCTTGAGAAATGATAAGGAGGGTGGTAGTACACACATCTCTTGCAAAATACATTGCTTTGCCTCTATTGCTCTCTGTTGTAGCAAGAATAGAAGTCTGAAAAAAGCAGTAGCCAATCGGCCACCTAAAGTAGCCGACCGGCCACATTAACTAGCCGACCGGCCAGTTAAGATGGCCGACAGCCATCTTCTGTAGCCGATCGGCCATCAATCCATATTTGTGCAAAAGTATTGCTGTGTTAGAGCAGAAGCAGTCTGGAATGTTGGTTTGATGTTCAGCAATCAAGGCGAGTGCAAACAAAGACAACCAGTGGCAAGACGATGGATTTTCGGGAGGAAGCAACCGAGCATGCATGCCTTCCTCGCCTGCGAGGCCAATTCATGGCTTTATTAGCTAGTTGTAGTTGATTATTACATGTGTTGTAATTAATTAGTTTAATATGTTTTGTAATATTTTAATTAGCTTAGCATAGCTAGTTATTCAATTGTGTTGTAATAATTAATTAGCTAATAATTAGCTTAGCTTATTCATTCAGACCCTCCTTCGCGAGGGCGCAATGTTGTAATAAGTGTGCGTATGTGTGTGCATGTCTTCCAACCCCACGTCTTTCTTTCTTTTATTTATCCGCTTTTGATGGTTAGATTGGGGACATGTTTCAATTAGCATACCTTATACTTGCATGTTTGCATCATTCATTTGTCTTGCATGTACCGAGGCTCAGCGCATCATTCAAACTGCATTGTATTTCAATACACTTCTTTGAATACGTGTTTCAAAGCATGTTGTTCAAGTTGCTTCGTATACTATATTAGTAGCCGAGCCTATTAATTGCATTATTGCATGTGTTGCATTAGGCATCTTACATAGTTAGGATCATGCATTGTTTCTAACTAGCTTTTGTTTTAGCTTGGAGTACTTGGTAAGTTTTATGCTTTAGCATGCTTGCATGAGTGTGATTGCCATAATGCCATGTTTAGCATGCTTGCCATGAGGCTATTTGCTTAAATGCTAAACTGCATGTATGCTTGTGGATGAAGGTTTTGTTACTTGAATTGAGATAATTCAACAAATGAAAGTTTTAAGCCCACTTTTCGAAGTGGCAAATCATGTTTGGTGGCAAATCTGCGTTTTAGCCCACTTGAGGGTGGCAACTTCAAACCATTTTCGAAAGCAAACATGAGTTGAATTCATTTCAAGTCTTGCAACTTAGTCTACAATTGCTTGTGTGCGTCACATAGTAAAGTTAGCTAATAATTAAAAAGAACACATGAGGTTTATAAAACAACATATCATGCTTAGTAGGGGTGCTCATTTCAGGACCTTTCCCTCTTGTACCCAAGTTCCCAAGCCGAGGCAACTTTAGTTATGATAGACACGTGGCCTTTGGCACGAGTCAGGGTTTCCTAAATTTTCCAAAAAAAAAATATTTAGGTGGCGACTCTGTAATCTGGCAAAGCAGTCCAATTTTGACATTATTTGATCTAAAATTGATTTTCCAAAATGATTTGCCGGATTGGACTCTTTGGTGTTTATTAGTTTCGCATTGCACTTGTGAGGCTAGATTCAGAATCGTGACAGGAGTCCGAACTGTAGGACCAATTCGAGCTCTCCGAAAGGGGGCGCAAAGAAAGTCGAGTCCACAGGCACATGTTATAGATTCAGGGTTAGGACTTATAAATATATAGTTGCATATGTCATTGTTCGCAACATTTGAATCATATGCATGGA